GTGTAGAAGAAACTATACGTTTGAAAATATTATACACAGATACTCACCTGTATTTTCCAATAGCGTTTTTGGCGTGTTCGGTCTGTTGATTATATCGATAAGTTGAGTCAGAATTAATGGAATATATGCACTTGTATCAGTACCTAAAAAAGAGAAGAAAGAAGAATATATGTATTTGTATATACATATTACTAGAATTTCGTTTGCGACATGCTTCAATAGATAACATCTTTAAAATAGTTTACCAAGTTTTATAGCTATTTCACCAATAGTCCATGTTGCATTATTACATACAGATATAAACTCAGGATTTAAATTCTGTCCAAGTATGGGCATAAATTCCGCTATAAACAAAATCAACAAATTAACATATTGAACTTTTACAAATGTAACGAATGTCAATGAACGTGGTGAGTTTACAAGTTTATTACATAATCGCGTAACAAAAATACTCACGTATGCAAGGCAGAACATGTTGAAAGCAGGCCTTTGTAAGATCTCCCAGTAAGGCGAAACTGCTTTGTCTAACTTCAGGCATGCCATCTTGCATACACTGATACAGTAGCTGCATTACATTACTGTTCATTACCAAGCGTTCCATGTGACCATCCAACCCTTCTGCCAAGCCGCTAAGAAGGTCTAATGCAACAATCATAAAATCTTTATCAGGAGCCTCAAATTGTTCTGGACTCTGTGTATTTGCTATGTGTTGATTTAGCGTCTGCTCTACGAGGGATACACACCGCCTATTTAAAAAANAAAAAAAAAAAAAAAAAAGAAAGAAAAAAAAGAAAAAAAATAAAATACACATAAACATTTAAATACAATATCAAATCTACAAAGATCGAGGTCAATCGAACCTACCTATAGACGGGTTCGCAATAAGGGAGGAAACCAGATCGTAAAGCAGTTGCAACTGAAGAAAGACATTCTAATAATGGAAAAAGGTCTTTGTCCTCGTCTTTTAATACGTTCCACTTATTAATGAGTGGTGGCATAAGAAGGTTAATGTAATCTGGTTTATTAAGATGATGTCCTACTGAATCAGCAAGTGTACCAATTGCGTCGTACAATATTAAAAGATTTTTATGTTGATATTTACCTGTATACACGAGAACGATTAGTAAAACAAAAAGTTTATTCAACATGACGTTAGTGGAAGAGCATATTTACCAAAAGCAAAAACAAGCGTTTCAAGAATAAATCCAAGGTAAGGGACTAATTCCGTGCACGCTTCCTCTTCTAACGTTGCAAAAGCAGAACACGCGGCTTCCTGAACGCGTTTGTTGCCATCAAGTACTCGTTTGAGTAATTCAGTCATTAAAGGCTTCAAATGCGTATCATGGGGTTGCGCACAAACCCAATGTGCGTAACGACTTAGCGTCCAGCAAGTGATAGCGCGTACTAGTGCTTTTTTATCGCTTAAACAACTAATTAGATACGGAATCAATTCTGATAAATGCGGAATCATTCCGCTCATACAACCTGCAACAGAATATTACGCGTTAAAAATTACCATTTAAACCCATATAAAATAGCGTTAAGGAAACCAGACAAAAAGAACCTTCAGCTATAGCTCCCAGTGCTAATATTCCAGATTCTTTGATTACCCAATCTTGGTGGAAAAGCGTTTCTTTCAAAATTGGTACTAAAACTGGTAATGACTCTTCTCTAAATACATTTGCTAGCATATCTAAAGCTGCAGCAGAACATTTCCTTAAATTCCAATCACTAAGCGTTGAATCGTCATCACATCCATCTTCAGCATCTGTATCTTCATCATCACAACCTCCATTTTCATTTGAATGCTTGTTCACATTACCATGATGTGAATGATGTGTTTTTGATTTGGGAAATCTTGGTCTGATATCTTCCTCTCTATCCGGAATCATTTCATCTTCTTCTACATCTCCTTTCAGAAGTATTATGTCAATGTCTGAGTATTTCATACCTCTCACCTATGGAAACACGTTACAAAAATTTAACACAATTTCCTATTAAATTTAAAGTTTATCTTATTTCGTGATTACCTACCAATATAGGTACTAAACGAGGTAAATGTGGTGCAAGTGCTTCTTTACAAATTGGCTGCTCAGCTAATGAAAGCCAAAATTCACAAGCCTCTAAAGCAACTCCTTCATCAAGATCCTGGGTCCTCATTAACATGTATTCTATTATGTTATGCATGTGTGGTATTAATCTATCCATTCGAACTTCAAGCAACATAACCAGAGCTCTACAAAATCATAAATGTTATATTATGCAAGAAGACGGGAAAATACAATCGTACCTGCACACGTTTTTCCTGACTTCTGGATCATCATCATTAGCTAAGTGGAAGAGGTTCTCCAGAAAGCTATCTATATGAATCATCAAAGCTTGTGTACGATTAACAATAAACTGATTAACACAGGCAGTAGCATGTGACCTAATTTTAGGGCTTGAATGTCTAAAAAATTGCAGGAACTTTGGGATTAGAACGTTCAATGGTCGATTGAGTGCATCAGAGTCTAAAACTTCTGCAGAATCTTCACAGATTTTTTGAAGAGCACCAAATGCACCTTCACAAACATTGTAATCTTGCGAGTCTAACATTTGGCAGAGTGCAGGTAGTAGCTCTGGCCATCTAGTCAATTCACCTATTAGAAACATGGTTTAATCATTTTCTAAAGTTATTTGACATTTACGAGTGTTAATCAGTAACAGTACCTTTGGATGCAATAGTAGTTATTAGAATACCAACAGTTGCACGAATTAGAGGTGATGGATCTCCAATTGCCGATAAACATTCTTGCTTGATAAAATTTGTAACCTCTGGTAAAAACTTATAAAAATGGGCTTTAACGTTATTTTTCAAAATCAGTCCACTTAGAGACCTCGTAGGTTCATCTTGAAAAGAAGAAACACACAATTAAATTGAGAAGTTTTTACAAATAAAAGTTATTAAATTTATAAACAAATATTAAAAAGTTATTGAATATTACATAAAATATATTTAAAATACATACCCTCTGATGTAAGTTTTGTTAAAACAAAAATAAGGTAATTGTTGAAATCTGGGAATTTGTTCAATTCTTCCAATTTCTAAGAAATATTATTAAGGAAAAATTATAGGAATGAAAGCACGTTGTTGAAATACAACAATCCGCCAATTTATGTAACAAAAATTGCATATTTTACACAATTATTAACCTGTGGCCGTAACAGTGGCTATTACATAATAAATGCAAAAAAAAAAAAAATACCGCTTGCATTTATTTACATTAGTCCACAAGAAAACAAATTGTTATACAAAATGTACTATTTCTCAGTGTTTCGTTACAAACGTAATAAAATTTTTTCAATTACAAAATTCTTATTCAAAATTCTCACACATACACGTACACATATGTACACACACGCATACATATACATGCGTGCGTATACATATATACAATATAAATATAACAAGAAAAATGCGTAAGAAAAAAAAAAGTCCAAATCTTTGTTATTGTAATATTGTCAGCTGTAATTTCTAACAAATACATCTATTTTACTGCCGTTCGTTCGTGTATGTCATTTTCAGGCTGTTTAATTAATATTATGGCCGAAACTATATACAAGATTTATCGATTACGGCGTCAAGAAAACAAACTCGTCACCGACAGTAACGGCATTTCCGACGCGCCCCGCGACAGAAAATACGTATCGTTAACATATTTCTTGGCGCTTGAGTATAACTCACGTGTTATTCGAGAAAGACCTATCAACTTATGTCGACCTACTCTTACCGATTCTAACGTTAATCGTAGCACAATCCCCGGGAAAGTAACACAACCGAGCACAATACAGCTCTACCGATTGCAGAGAGTTACATTAATTACGATAAGGTGTCTTAACAGCTTTTCAATCGAATCGTGAACGACAAAGGGATCTGTGACAGGCTGCGCAAAAGCGCGCCGTACATTTTCCTATATCGCATCAAGTAGAATATTTCGATAGCCTCGACGTCTGTTAAGGCTCCTTCTTGCGTTTTCATTGCTACGAGATTTCACGAGGCTACGTCAAACGTACAAGAAATTTCCCCAAAACGAAAAGTACGCCCCTTGATTGACCTACCCGCTTCACTTCGTTACCGCGTCGCGGGTGTATGTACTTACCGGGAACAAAAATCTCTGAAACGAATTTTTTTTTTCTCCCCAAAGCACTGAACGATTTACGATTGAATATGAAAGGATACTTCTTGCACGGCTCGTTGTGTAGCCGTATCCGGGCTCTGAGACTCCTTGAGGAGCGTCAAGATTTGTCGAAGTCCTTCCTCTTGCGGTTGCCACGCCATTTTCATCGTGTTTTTCAACAGCACCACTGAACGCAGCCAGCCTTCTCTGACCTCGCAGATAAACGGAAGCTCCCCACGGGACTTACCCCCACCATCGCGCCACGAAAGCATTAAGATACCGGCGTGTTGCACCAGGATTCTCCAGTTAATTTTCACTAGGCCGTGATGCCAGATCAGCGATTAATTGTTCGGGGCAATTAGATGGATATTTAACATCGTTTCGCAACGATATTCCATTTTCGCGTAATCCATCCAGATAGACAATTGAACGTTTTCGGTGCTTAGCAGACGAGCACTTCCGGCGACAGCAGTGACATCGATCGGTCTCCTGTTTCGATTCCCCTTCAATTCTATTACTTTTTTTCAAATTTATTCCGTCAAATTCTCATTACACGGCATTGCTCGTTAACAACTTGATAGATTTAAATCGTCGATGATACGAGATGTGTATTTTTGAGGTCAATTTTAAAATGAACGATTTTGAAAAGTCTCTTTCCGGGGCTTTCAGTGCGTTGCTTACACTCCTGTTTCGCGGCTAAATTTCAAATGTAGAAAGACACGCTATTTATGGTAGCGTGTATTTTAACGATCTGTTGTGTCCGTTCCATCAATTATAGCACAACACAATGATATGCGTTACATTTCAAAGTAAAGAAGTAAAAATATATAGAAGAACAGAAAATTATAGTAAAGCATTTATTAAATTTTTTTGTATACATTTGCTTCAGTTTCATTCGTTTTATTAAAATTTACAGGGTATACAGCATAAAAAAGCGAAATGTTTATAGAAATTATTAATTTATTGACATTGTTATGCATACTGGATCTGCGATTTCGGTCTCCAGATTTCAATTCCCTCTGTACCAGAAACAGCGAGAACGTTATTCAAATAATCCGTCTATATAAGATAAGAGAAATTAAATTTATATGAATAAGTTAATTAAAATATCCTGATTTTAGGTTACTTACACTAGCTATTTCACCATAACTAGACTTTAAAGTGGTAATATGTTGTGGAGGATCAGTTGGACTGGAAATTCGAACTGTCTGGTCCATAGAACTCGTGATTAGACACCCAGGTGCAACATGAACACCATTGATACCTTTTTTATGTTCAGTAGTGTAACATTTGACTGGTTTAAAATCTTTTTTTGGATCAAGTACATGCAACTTTGCATTACCATCCCCTACATAAATTATGTCCTGCTGCATACACATACTCATAGGAAATGATTCCTGGGAAATCTAGAATACGTTCGTCTATAATTGTCAAAATTTCACTACGTACGTTTGTACAACGTTGTGGTTTTATCTTTTACGTTTTTACCGTGACATTTTTCATCGTTCTGCTTGCCCTTTGATCCCATATAGACACTGTTCTATCCTCACTAGCGGATAAAATAAAATTAGAACTCATGGCCAGTCTAATGACAGCTCTTTTATGTGGTCGATATTTTATAATCGGTTGATAGTTTAATCTCGGATCAAACACTAAGATAGTTTTACAAAATGACCCCGTAGCAAAAAGAGCTAATTCTGGACAAGACGCAACGCACAATAAAGCACCCGAGACGATCCTAAAAAAATTGTTCAACGCTTTTATAGAATATCGTATCTTATTTAGACTTGTACAATATTTTGTGCGCAGCCACTTTTGGCCGAGCGAGTGAAAGCAAAATTTGTTTGCTTGATAGTTGTTTTTTCAGGAAATCTTAAAAAATATTGAAATTTGATACTAATTTTTTTATCAAATTTACTGCCCAACTATCTCTTATGAATAAAGATGTTCGTGCCTTCCTCGCTCGGCCTTTCCATAACGAGAGCAACGAAAATGATCAGCTTGGTTCTCATATACATTTCATAAGTTTTGAAGTGAACGAGACCGGTGCTAGTAAGCGTCCATGCTTTCACACTTTGATCCCAGCTGCAACTATAGACTGTATTATCTATTGCTGCCAAATCCCAAATCCATCCATCATGAGCAAAGTCTATACACATGTAGTTTTCGCTGTAATTTTCTTCTGTAGAAAGTTTCCAACACACTAGAGATCGATCTCTAGCTCCTGATATACAAATATTTCCATCCTGTACACATATGTTAATGTATTGCAACATCATAAAGATATAACATCGAATGATCATTACTTGAATGAAATATTATACAAACCTGCATTAATAATAAGCTGTCGATAGTACTGTATTGTACATTGTTAAGTGATAATGTCTCCATAGAACTTTCCCCTTTCCACAATGATGTTTGCTTTTCCAATGAAACGCATGATAACTTCCAAAATAGCTCATCATCTTCAGCTTGAAAAGAAAGGAATGTGTTTTATAAATAAGAAAGATTAAAATAATCGTTAGCAAATATCAATATTTAATACATTTGAAATAGAAAATTAAGTACAATATTACGCATTAACGTAGTTATTACATTACTACAAACTACTCTCATTTATCTATTACAAAATGTGGTGTGTAACAGTTTGATTTTGAGTTAATTCTTTGTTTTATTATGAAAAATAAAGTAAAATTATGTATAATTATTGGATACAGTAATAGATGGTTTTTTATTTATTTACAGAATGATTGGTCGTGCAAGGTGCTATCAATTTGAGCTAACCAGGAGGCAAGATTGGGTAACCAGTATCAGGCCAAATTTGACTAATCCTTGCTTTCCACAGTGAGTTGTCATTTAAGATTTGATAAAATTGTTTGCACACTAAACTCAAGCTATGTACTAATGTAGATGCATCTAGGAAGGAACAGATGTAGAGAAATATCTGAAATATAACGATGAAAATATTAATAATTATTAAATAGAGATTTAAAATCTCCGATCTACACACCTATTATAGGTACTTCAATTTAATTCTTTGTTCATATGTAACATTAGACTTGAGTTTTTAAATATATCGTGCAAAGGCATTTAAAAATGGCGTCCATGATCTTTCAACGATCTACTTTTTTATGACATGTTACGGATCGCTGCTAACCGAGTTTGTTCAACTTTCTACTTTTATTTTAGAAATATTTTTCTTCTAACACTATGATACCATAAAATGAACATATCCAGATGCTGTATATTAACAAGCGCAACAACAGTAATTGTATTGTTTGTAAACAATTGATATAGTATATAACTTGTCTGTACAAATTTTTGGACTACGATAATAAGAAAAATTATGTTCATATAACATTATAGATATTACTAGAAAAATTTTAATGTTTAAAAATTACTTGAAAAACTGTTGTAACGTACGTACTTGTAGAATGTATATTTTTTTCTCTTGAATCAAAATCACAAAAGTACAGTACAAGTACAGGTACAATATTTATTTATACGAACCTCGATTGGAAGATCTGTCAAAGACAAATGGGAGTTCGTTTGATCGGTTTCAATTTCAGTGGCGCTCTGTTTTTCATCGCACATTTTAGACTAGAAAAGTCAGTGTTGAATGTTATGTTTTTAAATAATATCATTCGATCGACTATTAAACTGTTTCGATGATTCAGCTTGTAATAAGAAGAAATAAACGTGATGGTTGTTTTTTTACTGACGTTGAATTTATTGAAAAGGAGAAAGACCGTGGGTTGACTGACGTTATCTACCGTTTTGGTCCTCGTGCACGATATAGCCTTGCTTGAATGCGCATGACTCACTTACTTTTACCCGTTTTGGTGCATTTCACAATCCCCTCCCAAGACCAGGGCTGGCAACGTAAATTGAGCACTTTTATATTTTTTTTCGTTTTATTAGATTTATAAATTGTTACAAATCACTATGTACATGAATGTTGCATAGCGTTTATATATCGTTCGTCCATGTTTCATAAAAAAAACTTTTCTTTCAATCAATATATTATTTATTAAAAATTAATTAACAATCAGCAAATTTTGAAATACAAATACATCATTTTTAATATAAAAAAAAAAGCAAAAAAGAGGAAGAAACTTTCGGAACATATTTATTTGAAACAATATTAATATTATATTATAAACAATTCCCATAGACAATATAACGATTTTTCCTTTTGCAAATGTAATTCGAAGCCAGTCGAATATATGTTCATACATGTAGTTACATATAATAAATATATCTTAAGCACACGGCATTGAAAAACAATACTTAAGATGAAACAGATTAGATATTTATATATTTTTTTATATCCAATTTCTTTGATATTCATTCATTATTTGTACAATTGCTTTGTATTATTCATTTGTCTCTATATTTGTTTATATATAAATGCAGACACATGTACAATTATAAAAATATCTTTATAGATATAAATTTATTTGCCTTATTATTTTCCTTGATTAAAGCTGTACTGATAAAGAGAATTACATTTTTATATCTAAATCAATTAAATACATGTCTCAATGAAAGTACTATAATAATTATTACTCTGTACATACAATATATAAAACATTCAAGTTATCATATTTACAATGCCAACTTTCACAATTTAAGAACAATCAGTCTGCATTTCAAAGTAATTTGTAAAGTTGATTAAAATAAATGAAAATATTGCACCGCTTGCAGAACCTATTTGCATAATTATACCTGCTTTGAAGAGTATATTGGGGATCATTATAGTTCTAAATATTGATACAATAATTAATTTTAAATAAGAAATAAATCCTATCAAGAGTGTCCATGAAAAAATAACTAGGAAAATGCCAAGTTTTGTTGCTTGTAAGGGAGGAGTTGGAGACATTAATGCTAAATATGTAACATAACTTCCAATAAGTAAACATATTACAGATAAGTAATTAATAATTTTTACACTTGATACTTTTAACCAGAATGCTAACAAACACACAATTGGATTTGCAAATTGAGTAAAAGTGATTGATAATTTGTATGCTATATTTCCATAAGGTAAGCAAGAGTAAGATTGTATGCTAGGAAAGAAACCGTTGCTTAAAAAGCAGAAAATAGCAAGCAGTGTAAATAAATAATGTCGCGTTCGTTTAGTCAGATGCTTATTAGAATCTGTACAATAATGATTCATTTTTTGTATATCATTAGAATAATGATCACAAGGCGAAATATTTGCCTGTTTTTTACTGAAAATTGCACTGCTAGTACCACGAGGTTGTTTCGTGTTTCGAATTAAAGAATATTCTAAAATAGCGAAAGCAGTTAAAGATAGAAATAAAATAATAAAAATGAAAAGAAAATACACATCTGGGGAAAAATTTAGACTAAAAGAATCTGAAGATTCTACATTACTATTATTTTTATGAATTGAACATTCTGAAGTATCTCCAATTCCCTGTATTAAAGCAACTATACTTGGCAGTACACCACTTAATCCTTCTCCTATAAAGAAGGATGTTAAACATTTTTCACTAAAATTGCGAAGGTACGGCATAAATAAAACAGAGCTAAAGCAACCTACTAAAGCATTGAAAAATGTTAAAATATACAATACTAGACTGTATTCATGACCGGCAATGATAATTTTTTCGGAATAAAAGAAACTTAAAAATCCCATTGCTGAAGTTCCTGATATCAACAAACATAGTATCCACCAAGGTTCATTTATTTTGTAATGAAAATATTGCAAGATTGTATAAAGTAAAGGACCAAAATTTGCAGCATGTGTCGCTAATACTAAGTACGCTGGTAATGTCCAACCTTCTGGAGAAGTATTGATAAGTACTGGTATTTGAATAAATATTCCATTGATACCAATCCATGCAGAAATGCCAAATAATATTATAAGAAAATGCACAAAAACATCAGTTTTTCTATAGCATAGTTTTAAAACTTGTGCAACATCTGTCATTTTGCCATTTATGTATGAAAAACCAAATTTTTATATATCTGTATAATAATTAACAAAAGATTAATAATTTAGTAACATCAACGTATAAATAATCTTTTCTAATCAATTAATATTCTCACCTAATTATTTTGTTAAATTTCCAAATATTACAATTGTAATAAATAATTTTCACTAAAAATCTCACTTTATGTTTTGTATAATTTACAAAATTATTAAAAAAGGAAAAAGAAAAATATAATATTATTGATCAAGATTGTACAGTATTTGGTATAATCATGTCAGAAGAACTGATATGATGAAGTCGTGAGATGCCTGGTTTCAGTTCTTCCTTAATCCATGCAGTAAAGTTTATCAGATAAAATAAGAAATTTGACTAATCATACCTGCTCCAATTGACTTAATGATAATTGAGTTTCCCATTAAGTATGTTTTAATATCCTAATCTATGAGATAAGTTGTATAACATTGTAGAATTAAACATTGTACATCTTTGTAATAAAACTAATTTGGGCTTTACAGTACTCATTGTGACATGTCTCTCTGATATCAAAGATATCCAGACAAATATGCTATAATAAATATATCATAATTGCACATTTTAAATTTAGAATTTAAAAAATACATTCATCTATTTACATATATAATAATTTTTTTAAATATATAAAGCTGTTTTTTAAGTACATTAATGTCTTATACATTCAGATGAATCAAGCTCATAATTGGGACAAAAATGCACTTTAACTATTTGTCTTAAACCATTTGAATTGTTTGTTTCAAACATTCATGGCTTTCTTCCTTAATACTTTCCAGTACGGGCAGATTTAATATACAAAATTCAACTTTGAAATTGCAATTGATCTGGCTAATATTGAAATTATAAAATCTAACATGATTCCTACTTGTGTAGACCCAACCCCTAAATTTATGGTATTTAAAAACGATTAGACCTTGTATGATTAGACCACATATAATTATGATAGACAACAGAGCTAAAAAATATATTTCGTTCTTCCAATTAATAATTTTAGATAATTTTCACTAAGAGAATTGTTTGTATTAAACGTCAATGCACTTGAGTCATTGAACAAGGCGAATAAGAATGGAATAATTTTGCATGATTAACTAAAACAAATGTTATTATTGCTCCTATCAATGATCCAATTTGAGTTGCAACACCAGTATAATATAGACCCCTACCGGGATCAGGTCTAAACAATGTTGTGATACCCAATTTTATAAATCCTATTAAACCACTAATTAATATCCAAGATAGAACTACTAGAAATTCACCAACCCAACTGAATTGAAAAGGTGGTGTAGGAGATTCAAGAGCTAGAAAGCAAACAAAACTAGAAAGTACTATAACAATAACGGTGAGACCAGTGAGGAAATTCACTTTTGGCATTTTTATAATAAAACCTAGACACATTGCCAATGGACCAGCCATAGATGACAATGTAACAGTTAAATGATACGCAACATTTCCATATGGTAAACAAGAATAAGATTGAATACTTGGTAATGTACCATTACCTAGGAAGCAAACCAATGCCATCATAATCAATAAATATAAATACATTTGCTTAGACATTGTCCAACTAGCATTGGTCTTATAACTAGGAGGTGCTCTTGTATCTGTTGGTAACGTTTCCATGTTTGTTGGATGTTTCACACGTTCTCCAATGGCAATGGACAAATTGTTCAACCCTAAGAATGCTAAGTAACACAAGAATAACAAAGTACCGATAAAGATAAAAAAAGTCTGACTTGAAAATCTGGGTTCTGGATAGTATGGTGTGAGTTCTACGTGAGTAGAGTCTGCTGCAGTATTATTCAAGCATTCTGGATTTCCACCAACACCTTGGATTAATGCCACCAAACTTGGCACAAATCCGCTAAGTCCTTCTCCTACAAGATAGGACACTAAATAAATTTCTCTATAGTTCCTCATGTATGGCATGAAAAGAACTGAACTCGTACATCCGACAATTGCAGTTACAAACATCAATAACAATAGAGCAGTGGAATGCTCATTGCTAAATATTATGGTAGTTTTATCATATACGAAAGCTAATATAATAGTGGACAGTGCTCCTGCTGCTAAAAGGACATATGTAATGTACTTATCACATGCCCATTTACTATATCTAAAACAAACAAAAGAAAAAATGATACATGTATATTTAGCAACTTGGAATTTGTACATTATAAAGTAGAAACATCATTTTCAATATACATACTTTATATACAATGTATATAGTATTGGTCCCAAGTTGGCAAATTGTACTAGCATAACCATATGTGCTGGAAGGCTCCATCCTTCTGGAGCATTGTTTACAAGAAGTGGTAGCTGAACATATATACCATTTATACCAACCCATGCACCAAGACCAAACATCAGTGCAAGCAGGTCAACTAATAACCTTCTGTTACTTAATCTTTGGCTCAACATGTTCTGTCTTCTGTCATTCATCAACAGTGGGTCTAAGTAGACCAAATGACCTTGTTGATGAATTTTTTCCTTTTCTGCCGCCGTTTTGTTTTTGTAAAAACTATTTCACCGATAATACGTACACACAGTGTCTGTGATATGAATCAAATTATTTTTCCTTTATATTCGATATAAATATGTGTAACAAATCACTTTATGTTCGAACGTATAACCTCTAAAGAGGTCTTATTAAATACGATGTTTATTAAAATAATACATCAATTACCAGAGAAATCATTCATTCCATATATTAGCAACACAATTATTCAAGTTTTGATGCTGAGATGAAGTATTCGTTGTAATCGTCTGTTTCTTGACATAAATGCTTGACGTGAGTTTCACATCCGAAGAGAGATTTTCTTTTTAAATAAAAGTCCATAGAAAATTAGGTAATAAATTTGTAAAGTCACAAAGCGTTAACACCGTTTCAAGACATTTTTCTTCTTTCTTTTTATAGGGAACATAACCTTAAATCACAGATAAACGTTGCAGTCACGACAGAGAGAACCGATTGAATCCACTTAGTTCGCTACATGCGCGTATATACACTATCTAGATATGTATGTAGTAATAACTCGACGTTTATGCAATTGCGTGTTGGAAAAAAATTGTTGGAGAAAGATATGTAAATACAGTCGTGGTGGCAATATTTTATGTGACAAAATTATGATGTGGCAATCTGTAAATTGTCGCGGTTGTAACACGACTATCGTTTTTAATAATTGATGGTCAATTATCGGACAAATCTATTGTTTTACTACATATCATATTGATATCGACATATCGTCGGATATGTATATATATATATATATTTAGAAATGACATCAATTCTTATATTTCTTTTTGGACTTGATAATACGCATTAATAAAAGAAACAATTAAAACTTTTGTGATATCTTTTGCGGAAAAATGGGAGGGGATAGGTTGGAGGGGATAGCGGAAGTTTGTTTCTTAAGAAGATAGTCAACTTCGTTCTTTAAATTGCTTTCCAGAAATTGCGCAATTCACTTGTCATTCCATGTTTTAAATGAATTACTGTAATTACTTGGTACATGCTGTTCTATTCAATGAAAAATGCAACGAAGCATCAAGCATATTTAAAATATTTCTCTGATAAGTATGTATGTATGTATGTATGTATATAACTATATGATAGTATTGATACCGTTTAAAATTATTAGATCGAATGTCAACAGGTGAAATATAATTGAACACAAGTTTTTTAAAGCAAGAAGAAAGTGAGTACACTCTGTACGCATATGTATACGTGTATGTGTGCCACGTGTACACAAATATGCATGGAACTGAAACAATGATGACTGGCAACACTATCTATCGTAAAATTACTGAAATGTCAAACGGGGAGGATAAATAAATACCACCATTGATTGAATATAGCAAGAACTTTATAAAAGACGAGGCAGACTCACAGATGGTTTAAGTACATTAGTATATGTCTCAAAACTCTGAGAAATATATGACGGTTTTGCATTCGCATTTTTTTTTAATTCTTTTTTTTCTGTTTTTTTTTTTTTTGTATCTTTTTTCTCTCAAATAGATCACACGCATGAAAAAGGTTGTTGCGCAAAAGGTTGTTGTGTTTACATCGTGCATAAAAAGTACGAACATACATCAATCGAAAAAGAGTCGTAAGGGTAAAAGCTGAAAAAGGAAACGCTCGATTAGATCGTTTGACAAACTCTCTCGAGTCGTCGTGTTACGGATTATCGCCGAAAATTAACATACGCATGTAAGTATATACATACGTACATACGCACACGCGTATTTATATTTTGGATGCTCTTTTCTTTCTGCTCGATTCATTTTTTCCGGGTCGTAGGTTATCGGAAGTATATCATAAAAAAATATAAATGCACGTGGCGATCGACGATTGTTTTACGAATCAATTGTCGTTTATCACTTGTCAGTTTATTATCTTATTTTTAAACAAACGATTCTTTTTTCCTTTTTCTTAATCACTCGCATAGGAGATAGATGACGATACTTGGTGGAAGGACAGCGTAACGTAACACGAAAGAGAGAGAGAGAGTTCCGTCATTAAGAAAAAACGTGATTTGTACATGCCCCGATCGGAGCAGCATCGAGAAAAATATACATCGTGAGAAATTATTCCGAGCAATGAAAATTCGCTTCGCAGGCGATTGTGGTTTGTGAGCTAACAAGTGAGGCGGTGCTTACCGCGAAAATACACTAGAGAAAATTGATATTGTTTTATGGTGTCATCGTCCGTCAGCGCGCCACGATGTTCTCACGTGGAACTCTAATAAAAACAAGTTCTCCGAAACAAATTCAACGGTGTGTGATAGGATCGGCTTTCTGATGTTTCGACCGGGAATCTTAATCGATATCGTTCGTCATCATCATCATCATCGTTCGCCAAGTCGGGTTACGGAGCGTCGTTTCATTCATTTGGAGGGAAAGATAGCGATGTTCAACGTAAACTATAATGACAGAGCAAGCAAAAATGAACGCGGAATGCAAAATTATCGTAGTGAATTACCACGGAGAAGCTGAGCAACTGAAATGAGCAAGAATCGATGTAAAGAAGAGAGCACGATGATGTAGCTGCGAGTAAATAATCAACAAATCCCTATAGGTTTTCGTGAATTTTCCAGAGTTTTCTCGGGCGGTCGATGCATGCATATATATTTCTATGTACATACATATGTGCTGGCCGTTACATCTTTCATATTTCATATCTGGCTTTTAAGGAAAACCGATAGCCTGGAGCCAGACACCGATATTAACGTCCCTCGGCATGCCGTGACCCGTCGGCATCGTTGAAAAGAGTTACAGACGCGGAATATCGATGGACAAAAATTAATTATGCGACGTTGGAGTGGAAAGAGCAATATCGGCTAGGATTCGGAGAGCGAGCGGCTAAGAGGCCGATGTTCGATATTTACATAGCCGGAACAAAAAGCTCATGAATCACCATCGTTTCATCCGTTCTGGTCGCTTAAGGTATTCTCAATTTTCCCCCCGTAACTCTCTCGTTTCCAAACGTTGGAAATCTATATCCCAACGGCTCTAAACAGATATTTTCGACAATCTTTTCAGAAGGCACGGTCGATCTTTCGAACGATTGTCGGACACGCAATGATGTCGGGGCGCTTGGCGCGTCACGCATCGATTTCCATAAAGAAAATGAGTTCAATTGACCCACGCTGACGCAAGGGACCAGAGATCGCGAAACGACCTTCTCCTAATCAAAGGAACAGATGCAGACAAGAGACAAAAAGAAATGTACATGCAAGATGGCTAGGAGATACGAAGAAGATAAGAGATGATGTTAATCAAGTGCAACGCTGAAGAGACAAAGAGAAACGAAGCTCCCTGACCCGACTGACATCGTCGATGATAAATTCCGAGAAGTGTCTATTACATAGATATATATGTACTTATCGAAGCGTATAGTTACGTGTATGTAATTCCGCTTGGTGTTGTGCGTTTCTCTGGCCCGCACCCGGCCCTCGCGAGAATGAGTTTTAATTGACTGAAGTGCCGAGCCGAATCGCGGGCACGAGGACTTGGAAGCGTGTTTGGTTGCTCGCTAATGTCGACGACACGTGGGAGATTAAGATCGTGCTATTTTCAATGTACGTGTTCAAAATTCCACCAAATCACTAGATCCATGTGTATTGTGTATCGCATGACGGGACGTTGCGTCATTATATCACCGGCATAATGTAATTTTCCAGATAGCACAACAAACAGGAAAAAGTTGCTCTAAAGTTGTTTAAAATCGTTGTCGAAAATTGATTTGCAATTGCAGTTGTAACCGAAATGCCTGTTACTTTAGATATCCGAAACATCTAGATATGCATCTGCTATGCGCTCCTGAATATTGGATAGAACATTCGACGGAACATTCCAGGTATTCGAGTATCTGGCTTTCTTCACCATGGCCAAAGCTGTAGCTCGTTAGACCATTAGACTGTCGTTTAGCCTGGCCGTCGTACTTACATCGTGCGCATTGTTTTGTTACAGAGAGACATTGACAAATCGAGCCAGGTGTCGCGCGACATTCATCGAGCGTGATAGCATCAATTAGTGTTAGAACGCGCCAAAGCGGAAATCGCGGGTTTATCGTGCTGACAGACGCGTGAATTTCATTCGTTCGATCGGATTAGATGCGATTGTCAGAGCTGCTGTCACGCCTGTCGCAAGCGTTTTCGATAGAAAATTGAAAATCGTGAGACAGGAGAGTTTAGACTGGCGAGGAGGGACACACGAGAGAGAGATTTCCTATAAACGGTTCCGTTTCTTTAACGTTCCCTGCGGACGCAGAGGACGCTTACGATCGATAAAATCTGACAAATTACACAACAATACAACATGACATTAGATTACAATCGGTCTCTTGTCGCCGATAAAAAGCTCCTCGAACTTGGTCTGGTCGTCGACATTTTCTGAATTTTCGCCGACGTTTCGCCGCGATCGTTCTCTTCGATTGACATCGATCGGAGCCAAGCTCGAGGATCGTTGTGGCCACTGGGCGAGAGATGTGACGAAACTTCGGAGACGCATCTACTTACGTCCGGTGGTCCTGTACAAACTGACTGTACGTCAGATAAGAAAATTTTGACTCGGAGTAACTGACGTGGGAAGCGCGTGCGCTGCATTTCTTCTCTATTACGTTTACGGGAACGTGTTTACACGTAAATATATTGTGTTTATATCCGACCGTTCATCTCTCCACAGGCGTTCGTTCAATCATCGAGGAGACCGCACGATCGTCTCTTTCGTTCATCGTTTCGTTGTTTTTTTCTACTTCCACGTCCCTTCTCAAAGACGTGCGACAGAGACTCAACAAACTCTTCCTTTTCTTTCTTTCTTCCAACCAGCTCCTCGAACGTACTTTACAGACGTCTTTGTCGTCGCGCGAAAATTAAAAAGAAGCACGGACGAAAACGTAATCTCGGCCGGCTATATGAATTTAAGTGGGCGCCATATTAAAATGGAAATAGGATTTCGCGGGGATCTCGGCACGGCCGTTCTCGTCGTGGAAAATCGAGTAAATTTCTCGCTGACTCGCCCGAAGGGAGGGATCCTCCGCAGCAGTCGTGACTCACAGAGATAAAAATGAGGTAATTACTGAAACGAGTTATTTATTGTTCTTATCGTCAGTCGTATCGAGCGGACTTTTCCTGACCTTGGTTCGACCACCAAAGACAGATTAGAACGTCATTAGCGAAGTGCTGCGCGAATATAAATTTTTACCGCGATTATCGCTGGCCTTCGAGTGGAAATCACGCTGAAAGTTAGAGCAGATAGCAGCGGGTAGATTATCGGGAATTTCGGTATACGATAATTTAAACACGCGGCATTGCGAAATAAAGTGTACAGCCGAGGGAGAAAACGAAACGTTCAGAAAACGAAACGATGAGCTTCGATCGTACGATCCGCCTTCGAAAGCCGTTCTTTCTCGCTTCGCGCGTCATACGTAGGCACAACGTATCTCTTGTTTTCACTTTCTGTTTAACACGAATGTCGCGTATGTACAAAGTATACCTACAGAAAATCCGCTACATCTCAGACGATGGATACAACTTTCATGTTTCCTCTTTTTTTCTCTCTCGATCGGCGCGCGCGACCTTCGATTAAAAGCATCGACGCGCGATCCTTCACAATTCAGTATGTCGCCTAAAATAAAAAGGAAAAAAAGAAAAAAAATGCAACGCGAAAAAGTCATTTGTCATATAAATTTCATTCGAAACGTTTCATAGTCTAATTAATATAAAGTGGATGGTGAAGATCTCTTGAAACTGAGAGGCAAGACGAGCGTGAAGAGGAATTCAACGTAACGAGACGTGGAACGTAGGAGACGTGGCAATTAGGCGCACATGGAGATTCCGCGTGGATTGGCATCAACTTTCACGGTGTGATGCTTTTAATCGCAGGACATGGCGGTACGCGAGTCCTTCACGCCGGTCGCTGTTCCGTTTAAGGGAGTATTCCAGTGTGAACTTTTGAAAAAACAATCGATTTTCTTTCCTTTTTTTTTTTTTGCATATTCTCAAAGGACATAGTTTCAAAAATAAATCTCTGTAACCTTACGTGTGAACTCTTAAAATTAACGAAGTTATGGTTGTTTGAAGGACACGACGACCAGCGTCAAACTTTAAAGGCATTTTTTCTGGAAACTATGTCCCTCAGAACGGTGTCCATGATATCTCAAAATCTACTTGACCAATTGACTCAAAATTTTAAGCACACGTTTAGTACATGTGTGATATATAGCCCCCCTACCAGAATCAACCAAGAGAATTCTATTTTTTATATTTTTCTAGGCTTCCGAAGTTTGACAAAAACATGCAAAAATCGATAATCGAACTACAAAGTATCGCCACTGTATTTTAATTACCGACTTTTCTCGTTCGTTTTGGTACCTGCTATAGCCAAACTACATACTAATTGAGGAACATTCGCGTTGTTTGTTTTTTTTTATTTCCGACAAGCAGAATCGCCGGAATCGTGGACACCGTGAGACGTTTGAGAGTATGCAGCGCCACTAATCTCAACTTCTTTTGTCTCGAAAAATATTTCGAAACGTCTAGTCAATTTGACTGCAAAAGGTATAATAGTTTCTTTGCAAAGAAAATTCCCCAATAAAGTTAAAAAAAAAAAAAAAAAAAAAAAAAAAAAAAAAAACACGCACTTCACACTGGAATAACCGCTTAAACGTACACGCGGCGTTTGAATCGACGCGACTGGTGGCGTATCGATCGTTTTCTGGTACCGATTGTAGCCTGAAATGCGTCTCGGTGTGCACGACGGTTATTTACAGCTACGATTACACGGAGAATGCAGATAGCAGTGGAAATACGATACCTTCAAATGGGACGTCACGTCGCCAGTAAGAATCGGTTGTAGAATCTCTCCTTGCACCATCGTCCCGGAGGAGGATCGATATCGTACAGAGCCGATCAACAAAAGGAAACGTACGTACGTGGAAAAAACAATTGGACGTGGTAACAGGAGGAAATGCAGGCGTTTGCTTGAGGCTCGGGTGCAAAGGACGAAGGACTGCTGATTACCCAGACGGTGGAAAAGAAGGAGGAAAGGAAGAGGTATCTAGCGGTCGTTCGTACTGGTTCGTACTACTTAGGTACACGGGACTTTGTCCAGTATCTGTGATTGCCTCAGGGAGAATCGAAGCGTGGGACAAGCTGCTTTGGGGTTCTCGTAGCGACACGAGCAATTTGGAATTGGGTGATCACGCAGAGGCTATACAGGAAAACATGGGTGTTTCGAAGATCGAGCAGGGGAGAGACGGAAGTGAGAAATTCCTTCAAAGATGAAGCAAGAGGAAACAACACATTTTCGGCGGAGAAGAGAGAGCTGACAATTGTCGAGTGTCGTCCCGTATTTGAAGATAAAACCGTGCAGAGATTATAAGCGCGCGACGCGAAGTGGCTGGAAAAGTGCAATAACAAGTCCAAGACCTCGCACGGTACGGTGACACTAGATAATATATACTGGTACAGGTACGGTATAGAACGTGGCCAGAGTGGCTGGAGAAACGTGGCTTTCGTGTACCTTCGAGGAACGATAAAACTGGTATAGCTGTTCCATATCTCTGTAAGTGGCGTACACGTGGCACGTTGTTGTTCGTGCTTCTTTCCCTCCACTTTCCATCATTTTCCAATTCGTTCGTTAATTTCTCTCGGCAACGCAAATTGCACGTTTCATCGAGGAAAACGGGCGACTGGGCAATTGCTAAGTTTCCGAGGAAGAACAATACATCGTACGCGTATTTATTACCAACGAGAATCGATCGGGAAATCGGTGGGAATCGATCGCCGAACGTGATAAAGAGATATGTACTACAGTAGATTTGACACACATATACGATACATATGTATAGATATTGAATACTATGTGACGAGAGAAATTAACGAACTTTACACCCCCCCCCCCCCCCCCCCGTACGATAATACGCAAATGAATCGAGACGACGGGACGTGACAAAAAAATTGACACGGATCGTTCGCATCGTTTTTTTTTTCTGTTTTTTTTTTTTTGTTTGGTTGTTGTTGTTTCGTTTTTTACCCTGGTCTCTTTTGGCCTTTTCGTTTCTCATGGAAAAGGCCGAAAAATGGTCGAGTACGAACGTTAATGCCTGTGTGTGTCTGTGCGTGTATGTGCGTGTATGGCAAACGAGTGTAAAGACTTATGGTTATGGTTGTACCACGTCGATTGCTCGGTAACGTGCCATTCATTTTGTCCCTACTTTCGGGTTTATATAACATCGACTGCACTCTAAAGTATCATTTATTAATATTGTTGTTGTTGTTGTTGTTAAACTCTTGTTGTTTGCATTCGTTTTTTTTCTTTTTTTTTTTCTTTTTATTTACGTGTAAGTATTCTACCATAATAAGTTACGCTGTGTTACGACTACGCCACGCACGGATTCTTTATTAATTATTATCAAAGAAGTCGTAGACGATAGGTGAAAAAAGTCTTTAGAGGAAAATAGGTTTTTTTTTTTTTTTTTTTCGTTTTGTTTCTTCTCTTCCCTTAGCAAATTGACAAAGTAGTAGATAGAATTATTATTCACGTACGTGTACGATGGAATTCGCAATCTCGAGGGGTGAGACCTTTGCCCTCTTTCCCGTTGTTTTTCCTGCTTCAAATCCGGCACCTCTCGCCGGTTTTTTTCGTCCCTGCCCAAAGTGTACGTATACGTATTGTAAAATTTCACCAACTCTCGAATCGACATGTTTGCCCCGTTTGTGACGTGAGAAACCATCCTGGTTCCTGCGTTGCCGTGGCTCCCCGAAACAAACAACAGCTCCGAGTAGGCCGCGTTGCTCCCGTTCAGCCGAGAAATATTTTCTCCGATGGATCTTTAAATCGGACTTGAACGACCCGAAAAGAAGGAGAGAAAAGAAAACGAAGAAGAAGAAGAAGAAGAAGAAGAAGAAGAAGAAGAAGAAGAAGAAGAAGAAGAAGAAAAGGAAGAAAAGGAAAGAAAAGAAAAAAGAACAATGGACAAAAAGTAATCGCGCGAACGGTACCATCGGAGCTCGCACGCTGCCTCATCTCGTCCTCTTGCTTTCGTTTATTGTCGCACATTCGCTGCTGGCATCTCCCTGTTCTGTCGTTCCTCTTTCCCGCTCAACATCGCCTCAACGTTGTCGTTCTTCTCTGTCCTCGAAAATACGGAGATTTCCTCGAGGATTTCCATCAAACGCGACGACGAATATACGAAACGATAGTTGACACTCTTGGTCTGATAATCTGTGACTATCGTACACCTACTGGTCGATCATCGACGATCTTTTTCCTCTCCGTTTACCCCCCAACTTTCACTCTCTCTCTCATTTTTTCTCTCTCGCGTGCGACACGTTCCATTCTCCGGAACGTGTTCAACAACGACAACCACCGCGTCACGATGCCAAACGTAAAACGTACCAGTCCACTGGTCCGCGAGAACGCGCTTATGCTTCTTCAAAGTGGCTCGCCCCGTCTGGTGGCCATCTTGGCAGCCCTGGAAGCCAAAGCGCCCAATGAGCACACAAGACCCGTCAGGGTCTCCCAGAAAGTTGTCCTACGTCTTTTGTGCGCTGCCTGACCGACGTACCCCAAATAGTAGCCGGTGTAACGATCGTTTCCACGATCCGAGCCGCTGTCCGACCTGCCCACGCTGGATCGCGCCGACTTGGGTTGCTGCACGATACTCGGACGAGCGTGTTGTTGTTGTTGCTGTTGTTGTTGTTGTTGTTGTTGTTGTTGTTGTTGTTGATGATGACGGTGGTGATAATGCTGATGGTGATGATGACGATGATGATGATGCTGATGATGAGGAGGAAGAGGAAGAGGAAGAGGAAGAGGAAGAGGAAGAGGTGGACCAGGGGGAGGAGTTGAAGGAGACAACTCCGCTGTCTGATCGACGATACTCTGACGCGGCGAACCGTCCTCGTATCGTTGCTGACAGACCGTCTCTGATTCGTACAGCCGTTGCTGAAGCTGCACGTTGCTCAATCGTCGATCCATCATTCGGACGAGGTTCTGGTGAACGCGGCGATCGTCCTCGTGCACGATGGGCAATTGTCGCCGGCAACTGGCGGCTGGCAGCTCGTTCGGGTGTGTCGTCTGCTGTTCCACTTGTCAGGCATATTCGGTGTCCGTCGACGCGGATCTCTCCAGGTGAGCCTGATGACCACCGTGATGTTGCTGATTCTGGTGCGGTGGCTGCGGTTGCTGCTGCTGCTGCTGTTGATGTTGTTGCTGCTGCTGCTGTTGTTGTTGCTGCTGCTGCTGCGCCTGCGTGTACGCCAGGCTCTTTTGGTAGCTGAACAGCTGCTTCTCCAGGCTGTAGTTCTCCGCTTGCAGCGAGGCGATCTCCCGTCTCATCTGCTGATTGTGGATGCGGCACACGTCGTCGTACTTGTGGTAGGTCGCCTGGAACAGTAGGTGGCTCTCGTTCCACTCCAGCCGGATCCTCAGCTGCCCCTTGTCCGTGAGGAACGGGCAATGATTCTCCTTCACCTCGTTCGTATCCAGATTCGTCTCCATGATGATACCCTCGTCGGTGGACTCTTGCGCGTAGTAGCGACTGAACGGACCACCCGGCAGGCTGATCGGCTCCTCGTCCCGGAGCAGATACGCCGACCAGCTCACGTACCTATCGTCGACAAAAGTCAACGAACCGTCGATCAAATATCAACGTCGTTTCGCCTCGTCGCAAAACTCAAGAAATTAAAGCCCGCATTTATTACTAAACTAAAAACACACGATACTTTGCTCGATTCTCTCTGTTAGTAGTAGTTAATTGTCCAACCAACCTCAAATGATTCCGCGGAACGTTGTGAATGTCCTTGTAGACGAGATGCAGCCTGACGGTGTCCGAGTGCAAATCGGCGCGAATCATCCAGGCTTGGTTGTCGCGATCGTAACAGGGCGTCGCCGGGAGGACCGACGGCCCTCGTGCCTGCACCGCCACTTCGCAGATGGTCCTAGCTTCCACCATCTCGAGTGAGACCCGTAGCACGCCTTTGTGCGCGATTTCCGACCACCTGACCCGCGTGTGCCAGCCGAAGCCGCATCGCTCCGCGTCGGACAGGTCCTCGAGCTGGCCGGAATCGATCCTCCGATCACCCTCGCCCAACGCCACGCTGTATCTCACTCGGCACCGATGGTCGAAGCCGCTCATTCTCATCAGGTAGACGCTGATGCCGGCGTCGTGCCCGCCGCGATAACCCTCCAGCTCCTTGTTGCCGTGCGGATAGATGACCAGGTTCCAGTCGAAGCCACCGAACGGAAAGTAATCGGTTTCCAGCTTGTTAGGCTTCGATTGTCCCGCGGAGAACGTGCTGCTGGGCATCTTGAGGTCGGTCATGTAGACGGTCCTCACGTTCGCCATCGACAGCTCCAGCTGAAACTCGCCGTTCGTGTCGGCGAAGTTCCGGTTGTACAGGTCCGAGACCGGGATGTAGTTCCGGTTGCCCTGGGCCGGCGCCTCGTACGTGAACTTCACCCGCTTGCCGGAGAAACCCTCGTTCATCGAGAAGTGCTCCCGATTCAGCAGCGTGAACGTGAAGTCCACGTAGACCCGTAGGTTTCTCGATGCACCGCGCCATACTAGATACGCACCTAGAACCTAGAAGCGCGACCGGCATCACTCGACGCTGTAAAACACAACCTTTCAGAGTGTTAGCTTCTATTATGACCGATTATTTTAGTTTTCAGCCGATTTGTTCGAGAGAAAGGAAAGGAAAGGAAGGACATTGATCTATTTCAGTTAGTTTGTCAATTTTCGACTTTTAGGTTTTAATCGATTTTCAAGAAAATGAAAAGAAAAGAAAGGAAATTGATTTATTTCAGTCACGAACGCATCATTTTGTTAATTTTCGACTTTTAGTTTATAATCGAGTTTAAAGAAAAAGAAGGAAATTGATCTATTTCAGTCACGAACGTATCACTTTGTTAATTTTCGACTTTTAGTTTTTAGTCGATTTTCAAGAAAATGAAAAGAAAAGAGAGGAAATTGATTTATTTCAGTCACGAACGTATCACTTTGTTAATTTTCGACTTTTAGTTTTTAGTCGATTTTCAAGAAAAAGACAAAAAAAAGAAAAAACTGATCTATTTCAGTCACGAACGTATCACTTTGTTAATTTTCGACTTTTAGTTTTTAATCGATTTTCAAGAAAAAGAAAAGAAAAGGACGGAAATTGATCTATTTCAGTCATGAACACATCACTTTCTTAATTTTCGATTTTCAGCTTTTAATCGATTTTCAAGAAAAAGAAAAGAAAAAGAGGGAAATTGATTTATCTCAGTACGAAGTATCATTTTGTTAATTTTCGACTTTTAGTTTTTAGTCGATTTTCAAGAAAAAGAAAAGAAAAGAAAGGAAATTGATTTATTTCAGTTACGAACGCACCATTTTGTTAATTTTCGACTGTTAGTTTATAATCGATTTTAAAGAAAAAGAAGGAAATTGATCTATTTCAGTCGCGAACGTATCACTTTGTTAATTTTCGACTTTTAGTTTTTAGTCGATTTTCAAGAAAAAGAAAAGAAAAGGACGGAAATTGATCTATTTCAGTCACGAACGTATCACTTTGTCAATTTTCGATTTTTAGTTTTTAGTCGATTTTCAAGAAAAAGACAAGAAAAGGAAGAAAATTAGTCTATTTCAGTATGAAGCATCACTTTGTTAATTTTCGATTTTTTGTTTTTAGTTGATTTTCAAGAAAAAGAAGGAAATTGATCTATTTCAGTCACGAACGCATCGCTTTGTCAATCTTCGACTTTTTGTTTTTAATCGATTTTCAAGAAAAAGGAAAGAAAAAGGAAGGAAATTGATCGATTTTGAAGAAAAAAAATGTCAATTGATCTATTTCAGTCCCGAACGCGTCACCTTGTTAATTTTCATCGAGGCTCTCCTCGAAACCCACCTTTCATCGAAACCCTCCATTGAGTATCGTTCCTTTCGTTTCTACCAAAAAAAAAAAAGAAAAAAAAAAGAAAAAAAAACGAAGCAGCGCCATCTCTCCCAAGGATTGCCGATTAAATAAACGGCCGAATCATTAACGGTTCTGCTCCATTAATCCCCCGATATTATCGTTACGTAATTATCGAGTTAATCGCGGCATATTTTGGCACGCGCGCGGCCCATTTACCAAAGCAATCAGAGTTCGCTCGCCCCCCCCCCCCCCCC